GAATCTAAACCTGGGTCTGGAGCCTAAACTTCTCAGGATCTTGGATCTGGGATGGTGCTTTGGCCCATTCTAGGGCTAGGAGCAAACCCCATGTTCAGATCAGAGGTGGGGTTTAGGTGGCGCCTTTGGGTTTGGGTCCAGCTCTGTTTCTGTGAGCTATGGATTGACAGATGTGAAGGCCAGTTCTGATCATCAAGCCCCAGGGTGGCCCACGAGACAGGTTGGTGACCGTTGCCCACGTGCAAGGTTGTCAGATTCCACTGGGTTCCATCCGTGTTGTTTTTTTCCTACTGGTGTTACTCGCATGACAGGTGTGTAACGCACATGCAGGGAGGTGCATGCTTTTTACACACAACATTGACTGTGAGAGCCGTGCGATCCCTCTGCAGCCAATCAAAGCGCTGCTATGGTTCTATCGCAACCCCCGCAAATTCAAGCTACACAAGCATAGTGAGCAGAACAGCCGGACCCCAGGAGGCTGTCTTGGTTACAACAGTTGTGTGGTCCACTGAGATGGAAGAGGCCACTCATGTGGCCTGCTCACTAGCCTCGGTTGCCCATCACTGGTCTAATCCGACCTCTTGCATAGCACAGGCCAGGGAAGTTCCGTTGTATAGACCAGTCGCATTGTGTGGTGCAAGTAGGGCAGTTCTTTTAGCAAGGCATTCAGTTTTGTATAGACTCCAAGCGATGGGAAATGTACCCTTGGCAAAGAGCACTCCGTGGCAGGTGCCGCTTCCCCGCCATGCAGTACAACAGGGAGCCAGACAACCCAGCCTCCTGACACTGCAGTAGCATCCTTGCTGCAGACCTGTTCCATCTGCATTACAAAATGCTTGCTGAGCAAAGGCTTCCCAATGACCTCTGTCGACAAGACTCTCTCCCTGCAAAGGGCACTCAGCCCGGAGGAGCTCGCTGCCTTCTGCCTGCCGAGACCCAGCGAGCGGGTCCGTGGAACACCAGCCCTGCAGAAACATTGGTGATTCGGTTCTACGTGGCACCCTGCTAGCGGGCCTCTGAAGTGACATGCAGCCCCCGGCAGCAGAGGCAGCAGCAAAACATTAGGGCATCTTTGTATGGCAGGACCCTTTCCGGAAACTCCTAGTCCCTCAGGCTGACAGCCAGCCCACACAGAGGGACCTTGTGGCTAATGCACCATGGCAGTTCATGAGACGTCTCCCTGACTCATGCTGCAAACAGGTAGGGGAGCTGCCTGGGAAGGGAGCAATTTGCCCATTGTTCTAACGCTGTGATGTTAGGGGCCGTGCCCCTTGATCCCTCCCCCCACAACCCTTGAGCCTATTCCAGAGTGGTGCAGCTGTGCCTGGGCCCAGGGAAATGTTTCCAAGGAGGTCGATGGATGGATCTATTGAATTGGTTTTATGCTGCTGCCCATCACTGGTATCTGGGCGCCTGCCAGGTGCAATCAGGAGCAATAGTGAAGTCCCTGAATCTCCGGGCTCTCTCTCTTTTCAAGGTAGAAACGCTGCTTGGGGCTAGAGGGGTTATTCTTGTGTTTGGGAGTGGAGGGAGTTGGTAGGGTTTGGGAACAGACCAGGCTGTCCCTATTGCAAAGGTCACTTACGGCAGAAAAGCTTTCTCAAAGAGGAAGGCGTTGCAGCGGTCCCTAAAGATGGTCAGGCTCTGGGTTCACTTGTTGTCTGGAAGATTGTTCCCAACCAGATCCCCTCAATAAACAAGGAGAGCACAAGCTTCGTGCTGGGTGTTGAGAGTTGCCTTGTCCCAGAGGAGCATCCCAGTGGTTCATCGATGGAAACTTGGTCTTTGGTGTCGCTGGAGGCTGGATCCATTAATGACTTTAGAAATGAGACCCAAGGCCATAAACTGGCATGGGCAGGTGACCAGGAGCCAGACCGGATGTGCGCCTGTTGACCTGAACTGGGGAGAAGTTGGGCAGCTGCTTTCTGTGTATCACACGCAGCTTCAGACATGGCCAGTTGCCATGACCTAGCTGGGAGGTGACACATGCGTGGATCCCCGTGGCCAGATGCCCGCCCGGGAGGAAATGATGAAGGTTTTCGTGAAATGGGGGTGAAAGCAGGCCAGTTTGGACACTGACGCTACCTGCTTGTGATGCTACCTAGACAACCAAGCTTAGAGTCTCATCAATCCGATGAAGGGTGTAACAAGGAGGAGGGAGGAAAAATTATTCCCCTTGGCCTCTGAGGATAGGACAAGAAGCAATAGGCTTAAATTGCAGCAAGGGAGGTTTAGGTTGGACAATAGGAAAAGCTTCCTAACTGTCAGGCTGGTTAAACACTGGAATAAATTGCCTAGGGAGGTTGTGGAATCTCCATCACTGGAGATATTTAAGAGCAGGTTGGACAGACACCTGTCAGGGATGGTCCAGATGGTGCTTGGTCCTGCTGTGAGGGCAGCGGATTGGACTCGATGACCTCTCAAGGTCCCTTCCTGTTCTAGTGTGCTGTGTTGCTATGAATGGGGGCTGTGCGCCTTCAAGGGAAAGCAGAGTTAGCAAGGATTCCTGCAGGACCCCTGCTGGCTTTCAGAAAGGAGAAGCAGCTGCACATCACCGCTCTCTGAATTCTGATGTGGCAGAAGTGTAGATAAGAACCCACTGTTCCTGTTGTGTCACGTAGACAGGTTTGCAGTGTCTTGTGTTCCCATCAGAGGCTGCAGTGTGCGCAGTGGGGATCTTAACTCCGTGCTCCCTGCTCAGGAGAGATTCAGATGCTGCCCAGCTGATTAGCAGAGCACCCACAGCTAGGGTTTGTTTCTACTGATGGTGCACGGCTACACTTGCCTGGGTGCACATAGAAAAAATTATACCACACATGGATGGAAAAGGTTAGAGGAAACGCTGGTCCCTGATAACAAGAAGGTTGTCTTCGAGGACCATCAGAACTGCCTTTCTGCCGTGCCCTTGTCCTTGGTGGGGCAACATTGAAGTTCGTGGCTGACGTGGCATGCTGCTGGAGTTTGGGGGTTAGTGCTTGCTCAGGAGCAGGAGGTGGGAGATGGCTCAGTAACTGGAGAGATCTTCAGGGTCATGCCCTGGGTTCTTGAGGATTGGGCCGACTGTGGCATTTCTTACGGGGTTTGGCAGGTGGGTGGCTTTGCCTCTTTCCATTAGTAGTAGGCAGGAGTTGTTCATCACTGGCTTCCACTGGTCAGGAGGGGCCTGGGACCTTTTCACAGGCTGTGGCCTTAGTGTTTTCCTAGGCTGAAAGAAATGGACCCGTGCATTGCCAGAGAGCCTGGGCTGGGCTACTGCTGAAGGAACTGGCTCAGAAAGGAAGCCAGGTTTGGGACGTGGGCATTTAGGCCTGAACAGCCATGTCCCCACGTCTGGTGCTTTAGTTCCTCTCCATCGGTTAATGTGCCAGACTCGCTTGCAGCTCTTCCTTGTGAAATGTGACAGTCTCTGTTACGAGGGGCTGGCGTGTGCACTCACGCGAGTGAGAAGTTGCTATTGTTAACTGTACGGCAGTAGCACATAGAGACCCAAACTCAGGCTCATTGTGCCCGGGGCTGTACATACATGTAGTGAGAGACAGCCCCTGCCCCAAAGACAGTACACTCCAAATTCACAATGTGTAGCGGGGAGGCAGAGGCCCAGGGAGGGAATGGTCACACAGCAGATTAGGGGCAGAATAGGGCAGTATCTGTCAGTCTCCATCACCGCATCTGCAGATTTTTCTTGCCCTCTCTTCCTCCCTCTCCTTCTGTATCTCTCTGAATGGCTTGTGTGACAGGCTGGCTGTGTTGTGTCCACGCAGTGCAGGGGCCCAAAGACTGCTGAAAGTCTGCTGAAAGTCGTTTTTAAGGGAGTCAAATTTCTTCCACTAATCCTCACAGGCGGGTTTTGCCTCCTCTTTAAATAGCCAAACTTCATTCAGGACAGTCTGATTAGCAGGTGTCTTGTTTTGAATGGTTCTCCAGGAAATAATGCCCCTGCAAATTTGTAGAGTCCCTCCTGCAGGGGTTCGGGTGACCTGTGTTGAACTCGTTAAATGTTTTACCGAGCCACAGTCTGAGTCCCTGCGCTCCCGAGCTTCCTAGCAACCAGCTGTTAATTACAGACCGAGGAGGAATGAAGTGCAAGACTAAAACTGGAGTCCTGAGAGAGCTTTGTGGCTTATTTTGTTCTGATTTCCTGCTCCTTTCGTGGCCCCTGGGACTTGATGATGCTTCCTGCTTGTAATCCCCAGAGAAGGGTTATTATGCAGAATCTCTTCACCATCCAGAGGGCTGTTGTGTGTTAGGATCCTTTCTCAGACCCACGTAATCTGCTTGCGCCTTCCCCTGGAGTCTGATGGTTTCATTCTGCAACTAAGGGCATTTTGTCGGCTCCCCTTCAATCCCAAAGGCCCTTTGCTCAGCATCCTTCAGGTTCCCTGGAGTGAATAGTGATGACGACGCCACTGAGCGGCAGAGAAGGAGAGCGCCTGGGCTGGGGTGAGGAATAGGTCTCATTGAAGCAGGTGCAGAGTGATGAGCAGAGTTGTCTGTGCGGAAAGTGATGATCTGGGATTTGGGAAACTACAGCTCTGTTCCCAGCTCTGCCAGTGGCCTGCTATAGGACCTTGGGCCTTAGTGTTCCTCATCTGTACAAGGGGGGTAAATCACTAGCAATTAGTATGGGAAGGCTATCACGGCCTACCCCTGAAACCCACACTCTGTGGGGCATGGCGCAGTCTTACTGGGGACCCAAGGCACCACCTCACTCATACCAGCAGAGTTGCTATAGAGTAGACAGTAGAAACCCTTAGCATTTCTATTCATGTTGCAGCCGTGATGTTCCCTGGGGGCGTAGCACTGTTGGCCCAGTATTTTGGAAGGTAAATCCTGAGGTGAAGAGACTTGCCCAAGGCCACAGAGGGGGTCGGTGTCAGGGCAGGCATCAGTGCCCAGGATCCCCTCACTCCCCTCCTTGCGCTCAGACTTACCAGTGGCATGTGACTGTCCCGTGCATGGATTAATAGTGCTGTCCACTGCGTCTCTGCTTCCTCTCTCAGACCTGGCCCAAGAGCACCTACAGCTGAGCCACCTGGGCAGGGGTTTCCGGGCAGAGCCAGCCTCCATTTCCCCCACAGAGGTGGAAGACCAGTCCCCGACAGCTGTGCGCTACCGAAGGAGCAGCCAGCGCCGCTTCTCCATGGAGGCAAGTACTGGGCAGGGTGGGGAGGAGGTGCACGGAGGAGGTGGGAGGCAGCCGTCCGGGCTGAGGGGTGAGGATCACGGGGAGTATGTCAGTAGAGGTGAGTGGCTGTCAGGCACTGCCCCCTGAATGCCTGTTTCAGGTTCTCAGCGGTGTCGGGTGCCTGAGACACTAACTCTGCCATGGCCCTGTCTGCAGGACGTCAGCAAGCGGCTCTCCCTGCCTGTGGACATCCGCCTGCCCCCGGAGTTCCTGCAGAAGCTGCAGATGGACAATCCGGACTTCCCCAAGACCTGCAGCAGGATGTCCCGACGAGCTTCCCTCGTGAGTCCCCCAGCTCAGGGTTCCTGGAGGAATCGCGTCAGGCCCACCGTCCCGTGCACATAGGCCACAGCTCGCAGCCACATGTGTAAATTCCCGTGCACTCGCGGGTGCAGATTCCCACGCGTGTGCCCATCCGCCCACATTTCCATACCTGCACATGCAAATCTCAGTCTACCCAGCTGTACACTCTGATGCACATAAATCCCTGTGGCTTCACTCTCCCAGGTGTGTAAACCCTGACACGCGTGCATGCCTCCACTTGTGTAAGTCCTCTCCATGCATCTGCGCGTGCCAGTTCCCTGTCCATGTGCACACTGCTATGAACGCAAATCCGCTCCTGCACGCATGCCTACACCTGCCCCTCACAGTCTTACACCCGCACACCCTGGTTTGATCCTTCAGAGGGGTTGGGACTGAAAGCCACTTGACATTTAGCAAACGCCTGCCGCCGCTCCTCATCAACATGCAAACGCCGATCAATAATGCATTTGTTTTCATGCTCATTTCGGAGTTTCTTTATAGCACAAGGGCGACAGCACAGCGCTGCCTTTCCGCATACGCCAGCATGCTTCCTAGACCCCAGAAACGCTCCCTATGGCCCAGTCACGGTGTCAGAGGCTTTGGCAAACCTTTGGCACACATCTAACCCCGAGTGGGGGAAATGGCGTAAGCCGATGGACTGAGAGTACGCCTCTGCCTCTGCGGTCTCTTGAGTCTGTTGAATAAAATATACCTGGGTGAAGCGAATGTGTCATCAATATGAATAACCCCATAGATGAATAATGAATGTTTCTGTAAAACTCCCCACGTGGCATTATGATGTTGGTGGACCATCAAATCATGCCCCGCATCCCTCTCGTTCCGGCAGTCACGTTTGCTCCATCCGCTGTGCAAAAATATACTGATGTTGTTTCTCCTGGCGTGCAGGCATGGGGGGGGGGTCTGGTTGTTGAGGGGAGTGTGTTGGTGTTTCTGTGTTTCTTGGTGGTGTGTTTCTGTTGGTGGTGCACATGCCTTCGTGAGCATAAAATTATTCCACACATGGATGAAAAAAATCCACACATGGATGGAAAAGATTAGAGGGAACTTTGGTGTAGACAAGACCTCAGAGATACCATTGACCTCCCAAGTCGCTATTTCAACACCACCCCACGTCAGCAGTGAGGCTGTAAGTTTCCCTCTTCTGTGTTTGGTGGCATGTGTGCAGTGAGAGGCTGGGACATGTGCTGATTAGAAAATGTGTGCTGGGTGGGTGGCAAAGGGTCTCGGCTGCATTCTGTAGCTGGCTCCTCCAGCAACCCATTTGTACCGGGGGGAAGGGGTTGTTTGTAGAGGTCACTTTCCCTGCTGCAGCCTGGGGAACTATTGTTAATCGTCCCCAGGACTTGCCACCCGTTTGGAATTCACACGCCGGTTTCCTGTTCAGCTCCAGTCAAACAACCAGGATTGCTGTTTATTTTGAGAGATTATGACAAAATATTTCTCTGCTCCATGGACACGGCTCCAAAGCGCCCAGTCCAGCAACAGCTGCTTCTCTAGCACCACCTCCTGGTGGAGACTTGTACAAGCCATGTATTATTTCAGTGATGATACATGTCAAAATGTGGAATGCCACTGAATTCCCCGGAGATAAGAACTGTGTTTGTGTCTCTCCTGTACGTAAATACATACAGGTGTGTGAGAATGACAGGGTCATTAGTTATGTCTCAAGAAGGCTATCCACAAAATTCTTCCATCACCTATCAATATGTATGCTGGGGCGTAGATTGACTTAACTACACCGCACGAGGAGCAGAATTTTTCCCAGTGATGTAGTTAGAGTTATGTAACGTTATAGTGTAGACATCAGTGTTCCCTGTAAACTGAGCACTTGTGCAGCCTGCTCAGGACAAATTCAAATGCTACCCAGCTGATTAGCAGAGCACCCACCTTGTGTTTCTGTTGGTGGTGCACATGTCTTCGTGCACATAAAATTATTCCACACATGGATGAAAAAATCCACATGTGGATGGAAAAGATTAGAGGGAGCTTCGGTGTAGACAAGACCTCAGAGATAGTCCTTGCCTCCAGAGTGTTGAAAATCTAAATAGACAAAGGTAGTATAGTTTTCCCATTGAGAAACTGAGGCACGGAGAGATCAACAGACTTGCTGATAGTCACACAGAGAGTCTATGGTAAGAACTCAACCAAATCTCCCGAGTTTCTATCCAAAGCCTTAAAACGGTAAGACTTTCATCATGACTGTGTCTGACATAGTGTGTGTCTCAGTGTGACTTGAACGAGTGACCATAACAAACAGGAAATACCTCTTTCGTGGCTGATTTGAAAAGCACCTGAGATCAGGGAATGGCGTTCTACTAATGACCAACTTGTGGGAAATGACTTTTCGCGCAAGGAAGGGGCTGAATACTTGGAATGATCCCAAACAGGCATCTTGGATAAACTTTTGAGCTTTTGTTTACAATCAGAGGGAGGAGCTCAAATGCCAGGGTGACAGGTGAGGGAGGGACAGGTGGACAGAATGACAATTGCAGAGGTAGGAGCAGTATATTGAAATATTGCAGAGGGGAAGGCAATATTTCAAACGAGAGCCGCCTTGCAGAAGTAGATACTTAGAGCAGCCATAAAGTTACTAGCTTGTGTGATAGTTCCATGAAGGGAGAAAGCAGGTATCATTGGTTTCCTTTAGGCAACCAGTCAGTTATGGTTCCGCTGTGACTGATTGGCAGGCTAGCTGCTCTCCACTGCAGCTAATAGTAGAACTGCTGCATGCAAACACCTGCCTTGATTTCTCTCCCCTCAATGCTCATACTGCCCAGCCTCCTGGACGTGACCTTCAGCCGTGGGGCTACTCTTTCCTAGGGAAGGATGTCGTCTGCTGATGTTCTTCTCTTTTCTTTGCAGTCAGACATCGGATTTGGGAAGCTGGAAACCTATGTCAAATTGGAAAAACTGGGAGAGGTAAGGAGAGTGTGAAATCACCTCGAGGTAGTAGAAGTAGTTAAGAGCAGAGCCCAAGACAGAAAGCACAGACTCAGAGCCAAACTTCCTCAGCCCATGGGAGTGTCTGGACCTGGGGTTTGATTCTCGCCTAGCGTTCATTAACAAGAAATACGCAAATGTAGCACTGGCCTCATTCTTGTGGCCCGATCCAAAGAGCACTGAAGCCAACAGAATCTAGAAGTTGACTTGTAGAGTCTTTGGATCAGATTCTTGATCTTTAGAGCAATTTACAAACACTCTGTACGTCAGCGCCAGTTTCATGAGCGCTCTGAGGCTAGAGGACCCACAGGGAAAAATTGGTGGGTGCTGAGCACCCCAATGGCAGGTCCCCTATTAGCTCCCCCACTTCCCAGCGCCTCCTGCCCACTGGCGGGTCCTGCGAATCAGCGCCTCACCTTTATTCCCACTGCAATCAGCTGTTTTGCAGCTTTTGAGACTGTGCGGGGGTGGGGGATGCAGCTTGCTCAGGAGAGAATTGGGCAGGAAGAGGCGGAGCGGGGATGGGGGAAGGAGTAGTGGGAGACATGGGGAAGGGGCCTGAGGCAGAGCCAGGGATCAAGCGCCCCTCGGCTCTTTTCAGAGTCTGTACTGTGACTCTACAACTCCCCACCTTTCCTTCTGGCACGTCTAAGTGCTAGTCTTGTTTCACCGCAGCAGGGGGGTTAAGTGACATACCCAAGGCTACAGAGGGAGTCGGCAGAGGAGCCGGGAACAGGACTCCGATGTTCCAGGTGCTCAGACTTGTTTGCACGCCAGTAGACCATTCCCAAGCAAAACCCTTTTCAAAGAGCGGTGGCTCCACTGCCCCCACAAAGCCGTTGGTTCTACAAGCAGAAGGGTGCGCCCATGGCTAGGCTTCATGCATGACGACCAGTGCCCTGTGAGCTCCAGCCTTGAAAGATCTGCAATCCCAGCCACCTTTCCTTGGCAGGGAAGAGTCCTGGGACCAGCAGCATCCGTCTCTTCCACTTGAGTTAAAGGAGCAACTCCACTAGACGGCAGCAGTAATGGGTGGTTATGCTCTGTGTGAAGCAGCCATTGGAGAGCGACTTAGCCGGTGTGCCCAGTTGCAATGTTGCCAGTGTCACCGGAGGTTGTAAAATTCTCCTGCCCTTGTTTTTCAGTGCCTTCCCGTGAGCGTTGGATTGTGGTGCTGCAGGGTTCTGATCCCTGCTCCCCGTAGCAGCCCTGCTCCGTGCCGTCCAAGTGCGAGCTCATGAGCTGTGTTCCTCTGTGTCTTCCCCGCAGGGCACCTATGCCACTGTCTTTAAAGGGCGCAGCAAGCTGACTGGGAACTTGATCGCACTGAAGGAGATCCGCCTGGAGCATGAAGAAGGGGCGCCCTGCACAGCGATAAGGGAGGGTAAGAGGCAGTGGGCACTCTCACGCACGGTGATGGACCACAGCTCTGGGACCCCTGATTATAAATGGTAGCCATCCAGCGAGTCAGAGATCCAGCTAGTCCTAACCCAGTGCCGAGGGCTGAACCGATGCCTTCTCCAGGCCCTTTCCAGCCCAGGGGTGTAGCCAGATGGGCCCACCTGGCTGACTGCTGATTTTGGGGGAGGTAAGCCCCTGCGCAGTGGCCCTCCTCCACAGCCAGAGCCCCAGGCTGAGAGAGGGCAGCCTGCACGCCCAGCCTGCATGGGAAGTGGCTGAGCCACGGCCATGCCGCTGTTTCAGCCCTTCGTTTCTTTGACTCAAATGAGGCCATAGACAGTCAAAGGCCAGTGACCTGCCCTGCCTGCCCTCTGGGCTGTCTCCTGTGCCCCTATCCAAGACTTAAAAAGCTCCCCACTCCTCTTCTCTACGAGGATTTGCAAGGGACCAGCCAGCTCTCCTGGCAGAGTATGCCCCCCACCAGGCCTAAGGGCTAATGCTGCCTTCTTGCCTTGCAGTTTCCCTGCTGAAGAACCTGAAGCATGCAAACATCGTGACCCTCCATGATTTTATCCACACTGAGCGCTCCCTCACCCTTGTCTTTGAGTACCTGGTGAGTCCAAGGGCTGCTTGCCTGGGGACTCGCCCTTGTGTTGGGGCAATCTAGACAGGCAGCCTTTCCCCTGCTGGGGAGGAGATGGGGGCTCATTCCAGACATGGAAATGGTTCACGGAGTGCTGGTAAGGCGGGGGAGGGAAGTAGGGGGAATTATGAGGAACGGAGTCTTCTTGTGTTTTTTCAAAATTGTGGAAATCTCCAGACTTTAAGCACTCAGCTTAGAAAAGAGAAGACTAAGGGGGCATATGATAGAGGTCTATACAATCATGACTGGTGTGGAAAAAGTGAATAAGGAAAAGTTATTTACTTATTCGCACAATATAAGAACTAGGGGTCACCAAATGAAATTAATAGGCAGCAGGTTTAAAACAAACAAGAAAGTTTTTTCTTCACTCAGTGCACAGGCAACCTGTGGAACTCCTTGCCTAAGGATGTTGTGAAATCTAAGACTTTTAACAGGGTTCAAAAAAGAGCTACATAGATTCATGGAGGTTAGGTCCCTCAATGGCTATTAGCCAGGATGGGTAGGAATGGTGTCCCTAGCCTCTGTCTGGAAATGGGTGACAGGAGAGGGATCATGTGATGATTCCCTGTTCTGTTCACTCCCTCTGGGGCATCTGGCATTGGCCACTGTCGGCAGACAGGATACTGGGCTGGATGGATCTTTGGTCTGACCCAGTCTGGCCATTCTTATGTACTCCTGACCAGCTTTGTGATCGTTCAAAAGAGGAGAATATTTCATAGTAATTTCCTATGAAACTATTTTCCCGATATTTTTTGTTTCTATCTTTTTCTGTAGGAAGTACAGACGGGTTTCTAAATCCTTGCCATGCCAATATCAGAAACAAAATGCTCAGCATTACAACAGTGAGCTTTGGTTCAAAGAGACATTGTGCAGGAATAGAGACAAGCGATCTCTTTGGGCACCAGGGAGTCCCCATATTGTAGAGGGAGCATCATTACAATGCCCACACAATATTAACAATTGATAAAGAAACTGCCCTGGTCTGTTCAGTATGGGTACTTTTTTAAGCTAACAGAATATTTATTCACCTCTAATAATAACTGTTTGCTCTGAGCTCCTATTAAGGATGTAAAATCCTGTTTTAAAAGGTTACTAGGGTAACTGGTTAACCAGGACCCTGCAGGCAGGGGGCTACTCCAGTCCAGCCGGGCTGCCAGTTAATCAGTTACTCCGGTATGCCAGTAAGGGTGATGTTTATCAGGTAACTAGTTTACAGGTTAATCCTTTGCATCCCTAGCTCCTGTGTAGCATGGGCCATAGAATTTCCCCCATTGATTGCTGCATTGATTGAAATGGAAGAGGCAAAGTTCTCCTACCCCTCCATCTCCACCCCCTTGCCACTCCGGGGTGGGTTTGGGATGATCCCAGTGGTTCTTTCTGACCCTAAATTCTCTACATCTATGCAAAGAGTTTCAGAATGTGTGAAAATTGTCCAGGAGAATTGTCCAGGTGAAACCTCGCTCTGCAATGCTCAGCGTGTGCTCCAGCAGCCGGATCATTGCTGTGTGTTGCCGATAACTTGCTGGGCAGGTGATTATTCAAAGTCATTTAGCAAGGCTCGTCGGGATATGCTTGTTGTTGCAGGACAGTGACCTAAAGCAATATCTGGATAACTGCGGGAACCTGATGAACATGCACAACGTGAAGGTACGAGACCGCTGGCTTGGGGAAGGGATTTATAGGCGCTCAGGGAGTGCTCTTTGTCAGCCATGTGGAAGACACAGGGAGCTGACTCGGGATGCATTGCAGTAGCTAGGGATTTGGACGTTCATACTCAGATTATTCAGAGTATCCTGTCCGGGTTGCATTGACTGCTACTCGTCCCCAGCAATTGTAAGCTGCCAGCCCCCGGCCCATTCATTCAGCAGTGTTAGATGCCTCTCAAGTTCCTTCCCATTTGCTCTGGCCTTGAATGGTATAAGTTGGTGTCTTCTGCAAAGCCTGTTCACCCCCTTTCCTCGACCACTGGCGAATAGCGTAAATATTTGTCTGTATTTCTGCCCGTCCGATTTCATTTCCTTCCCAGCCTCCTAGTGCAGGACCTAGACAATGTTCTTTAGAAAGTTCCCAAGGCAGAGACTCCACCCCTTGTCCAGCTCCGAGCACAGAGGGGTGTTTGGGGTTAATCTGGTGGCAAATGAGGAAACCTGCATCATTAGGAGCTGAATGCAGTGGCACTGGTGGAAGCAAGCCCCTCCGCATTTCTGGGGACTGAGCTGACTGCACACCCCAAGAGCTCCTTGCATCCCTCTGTTCCCCCACAAGCATCCTCCATTCCCCTCTTCTGCAGGGCCTCCATGCCACTGCTCCTCAGTTGCACTCCTACCAGGAGTTTTGTGTGTGTCCCCCTCCACCATCCCCTCCCTCTGCCACACCAGTTCCTCGTTCTTCCCCCACTCCGTTATGGACTGTCTGCTCCACTTCCTCACCCCTCTGCCTCACCATATCAGGCCCCCTGGATCCCTTCCTCCCACCAGGAAAGGTGAGTGCCTTCCATTCCATCTCCCTCCCCACCATTAGTTATTGTGTAGGGGAGACGTTATTCAGGATGCCAGCACGTTAGGATGAGCAGAAAGGTTTTGTTCTGCTGGACAGCACCCGTAGGGCCCTCCAACTCAATTGTTTGCTTTGTAGACAATTGCAGAGGTGCTTGAAGCATGGTCAGGGTGCTGTGCACCCCACAATTCCCCCCTTCTGGTTTTCCGATCTCCCCTAAAATCAGTCAGCTTCTACCCACTGATGCCTGGAACATTCTCTGACCATTTGGAATTGCTGAGACGTGGCAGAGAGGAGGTGCAGACAGACGCAGAGATAGCATCGTCATTCTTATGGATGGTGATGCCCAGAGGATGATAATCCAGCGCTTTTCATCAGTAGCTCTTGAAAGGCTTTTCATTCGGGGGATAGACGGCTGTCGCGAGCTGTAGAGAGGATCTAATGGTGTGTCTGTGCTGCAAGAACAGCAAATTGCTTTAGCTGGGAGTCTCAAGCGTGGGGGTGCAGCCAGGGGCTCACAGAGCTCCTGCTGCAGGGTTAAAAGTGGCGGGGGCCCTCTGTGTGCTTTCATTTCCTTCTGGAGCTCAGACGCTAAAGCCCAAGGAAGGGAGATTCCGAGGCACAAGCTGGAAGGGCTGCCTGGCTATTTTTAGCACGATAGCTCATGTCGGAGTCTGTTGAGCCAGGCTCTGAGACTCACTCCCCATAGGGCCGGGTTTGCATTGACACACTGGAGGCCTGACTGATCGTTACAGCTATCGCTCACAGTTAAAGGTGCCCAGGCGGGCCCTAAGCCCGTTGCAGGTTCTGCTTGTCCCTGGGCTCTCCCTGCCCTCTCCCTTTTTCTGCTTCTCTCCCCAAGATCTTCCTGTTCCAGCTGCTCCGCGGCCTCTCGTACTGCCACAAGAGCAAGATCCTGCATCGCGACCTCAAGCCACAGAACCTGCTCATCAACGAAAGGGGGGAGCTGAAGCTGGCTGACTTCGGTGAGTAGGGTAGGGAGAGCACAGCCCTGGCTTGGGCCAGGTTCTATGTGTGTGCAGGCCTCTTCATGGAAATGGCCTGCCCCACTTGGCTAGCTCTGAGGCACGGGCCTGGGGAGGTGGGGGGCTTGTTCTGGGAAGGCAGGGGGCAAAGCTTCAGAACCTTTCAGCTCCCATTTAAGCCTGGATGGACAGTGGGCGAAAGTAGGGCTGGAGGAGGCAAGCTCCCAACCCTGCCCCTTCTGCCCAGGCCCCGCCCACCATGGGAGCCAAGCCGCTCCCCTCCCCAGCATCATGGGAAGGTGGGTTGGCGAGTGGTCCCTGCCTTCCCAGCCCTGGAGCATGGGGAGGGTGGGCGCTTGGGGGCAGCAATGCTCCGTCACCTGTATGCCTACACTCGGTGTTCTGGGGGGGGTGCAGTCTGGGTGGGGACCAGGCTGGCGGTTTTACTGCCTTCCTCTGCCTATTATGCCCGCCGCCCCTGCATGCAAGCACCTAAATGGAGCGGGCCCGATTGTCACCCCGACAGCTCCCACTGGGGCCCGCTGCGTCGGCGCCTAGACGGGAGCCGAGCGCTTCGGCAGACCTGCCCGTGCGGCTCCATCCGTTCTTCCCGGGAGGAGCCGCCGTGCTGCCGTCCAGCACAATGGGAGCAGGCTTGCTGACGCCCCTTTCGCCTCCAGGGCTGGCCCGTGCCAAATCAATCCCGACCAAAACGTATTCCAATGAGGTGGTCACGCTGTGGTATCGGCCCCCCGACGTCCTGCTGGGGTCTACGGAGTACTCCACGCCCATTGATATGTGGTGAGCCGGCATCTGCGTGCAGGGCGGGGTGGGAGGCCTAAGTCAGAGTCCCCAAATGAGAGTCCAGGGGGCAGAGTGTGCCTGGTCTTTCCGTGGGTGAGTACAGCACCGGGCACGCTGCTGCCTGGTTTAATCGTGTGAAATAATAACATGGGGCTTCGGCACCTGTGCCGCCTCCTGTGACCGGAGGAGCTGGCACCACACCAGCTCTTTGGAGCAGGGGCTGGGTCTCCTCTGTGTGCATGGATAGCTCTGGGGGCTGATTTCCCTTCCAAGGGAACTCAGGGGTTGCCCCGTCCCAGGGCTGGGCCTGGAAGGACCCCTGCTGCTCTGGACACAGGGCAGGGATGAACTAGCGCGGCTTTAACTCCCATGTCTCTGCTGCTTGCTTAGGGGTGTGGGCTGTATCCACTACGAAATGGTCACAGGACGGCCCATGTTCCCAGGCTCCACTGTGAAAGAAGAGCTCCATTTAATCTTCAGGCTGCTGGGTGAGTCTTCTGCATTCTCCCTGATCTCCACAAGAGGGAGGTGGCTGACCGAGCAGAGAGGGAAGCCTTTAATTTTCCAGGTGCTGCTCGGCTGGCCTGTAACCACCTGGTAAGATTTACCAGTGAATCAGAGCCTTTCTTTGGGGGTGGGGGAGGCCTTCTGGTAGAAATCAACAGCAAATAGAGAGCTCCCCATTCCATGGTTCGAACCGCTTACAGAACAGCTGGTTTTACTAGATTCAGTGGGGCTTTTCTCTCTGGTGTGGTTACTAGCAGCTTTCCATAGCCCAGACCCAACGTGATGTGTCTGAACCTGATTTTCTCCCCCAGGCACTCCTACGGATGACTCTTGGCCCGGAATCATGTCCAGCGAGGAGTTTAAGAGTTATCATTTCACTCAATACCGAGTCCAGCCTCTGATAAGTCATGCGCCCAGGTACCTCCCTGGAGCGGAGACCCTCACTGGCCTGTGGTTTGGGGCTGTTGGCGAATGGGAGGCGAGGGCGAGGAGTGTTGGGAGAGAGGTTATTAAGGGTCTCTGCCAATTTGCCGCTCAGGAGCAGACCGCATCAGAGCAGGCCTCCTCCACTGTGCCCGGCTCGTGTGCGTCTGACATGCCCCAGTAAGACGCCCCTCCACGGGTCATAGATAAGAACCTGTCTCCAGGGCTGGTTCTGTCCTTCCTTCTACTGCAACTTCGGGTGACCAGACAACCAGTGTGAAAAATCAGGACCAGGCGGGGAATAGGATCCTGTATAAGACAAAGCCCCAAATGTCAAGGCGTCTGGTCACTCTGCTAGTGGTGCCAATTAATACCCAGCCCCCTGCCCGGTGGCAGGGCAGGACAAGACACCGTTCTGCCTGGTGCCACCGCTGCCCTGCAGCAAGAGGCCCTGTGCCCCGGCTTGGAGCAGCGCAGTGTGTCTGGGGGCAGAGTCACAGTCTCCTTTTTTCCCAGGCTGGACACAGAAGGCATCGACTTGCTGACACGCCTCCTCCTGGTAAGTGGCCTGACCAGCCAGCCAGACTGCAGGGGGTTATCTTAGCCATGGGGCTCCAGGGCTGCTCCCATCCTTCCTGGTTTAACATTAGTGCTGTTGGCTGTCGTCCGTCTCACTGGGAGAGGACAGGGGGCCTTGGGAACCCTCCATGTGCAGGGGCTGATAGGAGACACCTTCCAGCGAGATGCTAATTTGGGATCCAGGCAGGGAGACTCACGGGGAGGGGCCAGCTGGGATCTGTACTGGTACCTCCTACCTTTATGAAGGCATCTGATCATGCCGCTGCTGGAGTCCTCTATAGATTTTCACTGGGCACTGTATCAGACCCTTTCAGCCATTTCTCTGAGCGTATTACCAACCCACTCCTGTTCCTCCAACCCGTTTGCTGCCCTGAATTCGCTCACGCTCTCTGAAGGTCCCTCTGTGCACTGGATGTGCCCTTCCACCTTCCTCTCCAGCTTCGCCTTGATCAGAGCCCTTGTCGTCGTCTCTCTGTGGGGAGAGGCACCTTCCTTTCGGCGTTTTGAGACAAGCCTGTTTGTCTCCGAGTAAAGTTAGCAGAACTCCGGCCCAGCATCTCACCGTTCACCTAGTCTCTGCTGCTCAGTTCCTGCAGCACAATCCTGCCCTATAGCTGCTGGTGATCAGACACCAAGGCCATTGCCACCCCGCATTCCTCCC